TAATTAGGTTTTTTCAAAGACCAATTTATCAGGGAATGATAAATAGAGGCAAAATTGACTTGTATCTGCGATAAAGAACTAATTATTTCATTTTTGCCTCTATTTTAATCAATAATTGCTAGATAAGTTGAAGGATTGGTTAAGGATTGGATCCCAGGCTGGGCTTGGACTTTACGTTCAAGTTTGAATCAAGGTTGGTCCAAGTTTGGCCCAGGCTTGGACTACCTTCATTGTAGCATTTTGGCTCAACCTTGGATCGAGCTCGACGTCCAAGCTTGAACTAGCGTTACAAACCAAGGAATAACCAAGGCTGGTACAATCTTAAATTCCAAGCTTGAGCCAAGCTAAGTTAGTCTTGGTCCGGGATTGGGCTAAGCTCGGACCAATGGTTAATCCCCAGCTGGGTATCAATTTTTCCTTAAAACTGATATTTCAGTTGCTCATAATACAAGTTTATTTGATTGTCGAGACGGCAATCTGTTTTTCAGTGAAGGGAGTAGTGTGACGAATAGCTAAGGCCTCGAATTTACCATTTGTATTTCATCGGTATCCATTCTTTTCGTTCCTTCAAACCTCTCCTCTGAAATTAGCATTTCTCTTTTATGGTGTTAGTTTTTTTTGTCTGCTAATCTTGACGGTTTGTTGTATCAATGCTACGTCTAATTATTAATTTAATAACCCCACTTGTCTTCAAATCCATGTGCTGTTCAATACAAGAAATGACTTAGGAACTAACTTAGAGCAGCGAATTCATGTCTCTGGAATCTATTTCAACAAGAGACAAGAAGGTAATCATCAGATTTTTCTCCTATAAGGATGACTAAGTGAGAACTATTCTTTCCAAACCCTCACTCGAAATGTTCTTTTGCCTTTGTTGTTTTTTTACCTCAACCCGTCATCGATAAGAATGATCAATTTTTTATCGTTCTGAAATAATAAACTTAAATCAACTTTTTCAAGCACCATTGTATGTATCACCTGACTGATAGGGGAAGAAATCATCGAAATGAAAAAAAAAATGTAATTTCACAGAGATTAAAAAAATTATTATTGCTGTCATCTTCATCTTCGATCTCGGTTATGAGCACATCAGGCCACATTTTTTAAGCCGTGATTCAATTGATTCAGATGATTTTTTTTGAGCTATCGTAAAAAAAAACGAATTTTTGAAAAATGTAAACATTTTAAAAACGGATGGGTGAAATCAATTTCTATTGACGGCGATAGATAGAACCCAATGAGACCTACATTCGGATAGAAAAAGATGCAACTGATGAGAGATACAGGTAAGCAATCAAAGAAAATCAATGAAATAAAAATAGCACATACACACACACATGCATACATACATTCGGACATGGTCGAAAAACTGCATTTTCGAAATCATTGGGTCATATTAAGTGGAAATATGACAAAAAATGGCAATCTTAAATTTGGTCGATTACAAAGCTTCCATTCGCAAGCAAAAAGCTTCCATTCGGAAGCAATAAATTTGGTCGATTACAAAGCTTCCATTCGGAAGCAGAATGAAGGGTTGCCGCTGGGATGAGTGCGGCAGCGTAAAATAGGGGGTTTATGGCAGGAGAAGGAGTATTATCGCATGCTAAACCTTCATTTCACCGGCAGGCACTCTTCCTAGCCTCAACCGTCCATTTTTCTCGTGCACTCACTCCACCATCCCCTATTTTACCCTGCCACACTCATCCCAGCTTCAACCCTTCTTTTTTTTCCTTCCACTCATTTAACCATCAACCCTCTATTTTACCCTGCGAGAGTCATCCCAGCCTCGACCCTTCATTTTTTTCCGTGCACTCTCTCCACCATCAATTCCCTATTTTACCCTGCCACACTCATCCCAGCTTCAACCCTTTATTTTTTTCCGTGCACTCACTCCACCATCAATCCCTTATTTTACCATGCCACTCTCATCCCAGCTTCAATCCTTCATTTTTTTCCTTGCACTCACTCCATCATCAACCCCCTATTTTACCCAGCCAGACTCATCCCAGCCTCAACCCGTCATTTTCCTACCTGCACTCACTCCACCATCTCCCCTTATTTTACACTGCCACATTCATCCCAGCTTCAACTCTCAATTTTTTTCCTTCCACTCACTCCACCATCAACCCCCTATTTTACCCTGTCACACTCATCCCAGCCTCAACCCTTCATTTTCACACATGCACTTACTGCACCATCAACTCCCTATTTTACCCTGCCATACTCATGCCACTCTCAATCCTTTATTTTTTTCCGACGGATTCATCCGATACCCAAACTCCCATATCACCCTTGCATCTATGCCCCTTCCCCCCTTCTTTACGGCCATCTGCCTATTTGTTTAAAAAAACGAATAAAAATGGTTATCTCATTCCCACTACTCTTTTACTCCACCCCCTATAAATTCAAATGAAAAATCCTTAATCGTTCCAATTTTTTTCGAAGGGGGCCCGAAATTTTGGCACCCTGACTTCGGAGCCGCAGACGACCCTGGAAAAGTGTGCCATTTTGTCACTTTTTCGCTTATCGATCGTGTATTTTTTAGATGGAGCTTCAAAGTCTGCCACAAACTGTGGGGGGCTAAAAGTCACCAACATTTTCCCAGGACGAGAAGGCCGGGGCTCAACTCCTAAATTATGAAACCTTGATTATAATGACCACCAAATTATTTTCTATCGATTTCAATTATTTTTGATTTTTTTAAGAATAACTTTGGCTCATTATTATTGACAAAAAAGAAAAATCAATTAAACCAAAACTAATTACTCGTAAATTCTGATAATGTTCTCCTAAATTCCACCAAATTACCACCTACATATTTATGAAGAAGAAAGTTTGAAAAGTTAATAAAAAAATAGATTTCTCCCAAATGCACAGTGCCCCGGGACCCGCGATTCAACGGCTACGGTCAATTCGGTTATCGAGGTCGGTAATATAACCCTACCGCCATCTCTCGGCATTTTCCGAACGCTGTTTTCATGCTCACTTTTGCCCATTATATATTTTTTATAATTTATCCCAAAATAATCAATCAAACATCGTCAAATGCATCAAATAATCCACCTTATTCATCCCACCTCATTCTTTCATCTGTTTTCATCGATTTCTACCTATTTTTCATCCAAAAATTGCATCCACGCAACATTCACGCAACATAATTTGATACTTTGATAGTTTGCTAGGGAACTAACGAGAAGAATTGAATGCTTTATATTCACGAATAGAGAGGTATGAGCAGGGGATGAGGCGTCTGGAGCGTTCATATCAACAAGAAACAAACAGGTCAGGACAATATCGAAAGGCCATGACAGAAGTATACTCATGGCATCTCAGTCATTGTTTAAATACCCCGCGGTGTGTGAAGAAGAGGAGAACGTGAGTCGATTAGGTGGTGAGTAGATTGAAAGTTCATTCTATTTCATAACTATACGAGATTCTCATCCAGGCTCAAGAGAATTGTCAAATAATTTGAAGAATAAATAGTTTGCCATATTATTTCACTGATTAATTTTTTTTACAGATGAAGACTGGACAGCACGAGGCTCACAGCGTAAAAATCGCGATGATGTATCTTCTACTTCACCACCGAAGAGAGATAGCGTTCCAACGAGATATGCCTCCGGGTACGGTGTTACTCCTCCAACTCAATTGACTCCTTCAAAAACTTCACCCAGTTCAGGTACATGAATCGCATAAAAAACTGGAGCATTCAATTAAATGAATATTAACACGTCCATTTCAGATTAGAAGAAGAGCATATAATGAAAGAAGTATTAGCAACTTCCCTGAAAAAAAACTCAAGTTACTTGAATTTTCATTCCACATAAGAATCTCCGGTACCTTATGACTGGGTATTATTGATTGGTTAAGAGATTGCAAAGCACTGATAACATTGTTTGTATCATTTGCATGAAATAGTTTTTTAGAATCATAGAATTATTCAACTTTCTTAATGTTGCATATATTTTTTCCAAGCAAAGCCCATTAAAATCAATAGTAGAAAATAAGAGATTCTTAAGTCTACCAAAAATAAAAATCATTGAAATATTCATTTGTTTGAACGAAAACCATTCTTCTCGTCTCAGTGATCAAGGACAACACGAAAGAAGAGAGAGAAATAAGAAGGAGGGAAATACATCGATTAATAGTCCTGAGGTAAACTCTGTTGTCCCTGAAATGCCTTACCCACCTTTCTTATAATAATTTGAATAGCTACAGAAGGGTAGCGGCGGATAAGTTACTCATGGTGTTCATTCAGCGATGGTAGATGGTCGGATGAGGTGAATTCAGAATTTTAGTGAAGTGCTCGGGACTATTAGATAAATCCATCTTTCTGTGTGTCAATTATCTTTAAATGTGCTAACATGTGATGTCTTTGGGGCCGACACACCCCCACGGCCTCGCCGTGGCCCTGGGTAACGTAGAAAGCGGTGTATTCAATGTCATATCTCCCGCACTAATTGTTTCCGGATAAAAAGGTGACCAGATCCTTAATGAGGCGACGGAATCCCATTCAACCAAATACAAAACATCCAGAACGGTTTGGTGGACCTGAACTAGACATTTACCAAAATAAGGTATAAGCATTTCAAGAAAATTGACAGGATTTAACAAAAACCGCAGGATCGTTGATTTTTTCGTCTCAAATGCACATCAAATAGTCTTCGAAACACAAGTAAAAATAAACGACTATAAAGCAGTTGAATATACTGATAACATTTCATATCTTAAGCATGTGAAATGGTATATATTAAAATTCTTCGTTTTATATCATAATTGGTTTCCAAAAATATATACAATTTTCATGTTAGCACACGCTCATAAGTATTTGAAGTGAAATCTAATGAATACCCCTTCCCTGCACATATGTATACATATATGCAATTATCAATTTTCCAATATGGTTAAATCATATTCACGAATTCTTGGATGGAAAAATTGATTGATAACCTAATATAGTCACTCATAAGACTTGAAATAATAAAAAGTAATAGATGATATTTAAGTAGGGGAGTGCTGGATAATATGGACATCTTTTTATTTGAATTGGTATAGTAGCAATCAACACTATCGAATGTTTTTTCCTAGTCATGAAAAATTCTTATCACAGCGAATATCAAATTATTGGCGTAAAAAAAATCTTTTTTTTCAATATTTTAACGGTATATTACAGGACAATAAATGTACGATAAAAAATATCGTGGAAGCACAGGCAATTAGAATCTTAGGTTCATTGGATGATATAGGTTATTATTCGCGATTTTTTTGCCTTAATTAACTTTTTTAAAACTTTATTTATGTATTTTTTTTAGAATCTCATTTTTCACAGTCTATCAACCGACTAATGGCTGAATACTTAAGTAATGTATTTATATTGCCTTAAGGGTAGAGAAATTTTGAAAATTAAGAAAGAAACAATTTATAATGGATGTCCGATTAATCCTTCGTGTACATACTACCTCAACATCCCCTACAAGCATTATTTAAATAGTGAATTTTTCTTATTTTCCAAATTGCATTTTCAGCTAATTCTTCTTCATTTCCGTGATATCTAGGTGATTACTAATAGTAAAGTAATAGTAAAGTAATATTATTAAGAATGCATCAATTTAAAATTATTAAAAATTGTATCGTAAATTATTGTGCGAATTATTCAGGCAATTTTTAGAGAAATTCATCAAAAGACATCTTTGTATACACAATTTCATGCTCTGCACAACAAGTTTTTTGTGTAAACTTATGACGGACATATCTATACAATAATTACGAATTAATACAAATTCCTGCAAACTCTACTCCAGGAAAACTATTAGGTAGATTTGAAATTATCTGCTTTCTTTTTAGGATATCTCTCGATCCCCAAGGAATTCGTTTTATATCATAGGTGCCTGTAATCACGCGATTCTAACCTGACTTTGCTCGCCAGCATCGTGGATTACGGGCTCAATGATAGAAAATAATTTATGAACTACGTGTGTTATGGATTTTCCGACTCGAGCCAAAAAACCCATCACACACTTGTTGCATATAATGTACTATTATGTCGCTCGGCTCACCCTACCTCGTACATCTATTGCCCCAGGGCAGTAAGTGGCCGTTTATCGCCTTCCTTTTTACTCACCTCCCTGGGACAATAAAAATACTCGGTAAGTCGAGCCTCGCAATATAAAATAACATATGCTACACGGTCTGAACATTTTGTAAATTTTTATAAAATACGTTACCAAAATACTTCTCAGCCCTTGTAGCATAAATTAGTATCGTCTACTTTAAAGCCATTACTTTTACGGAAGGGTATCTTTTTTTTTCCCGATTAAATCGCTCATCTTGCCACATTACTAAGAAACCATTTATATTTCACTGTGTAAACTAACTATATATATTTAGAAAATGTATGAACGAGGATAAAACTTTTTCTTAAACGGAAAAAATAACTTTTTCATTATAAAAAATATTTAGTTAACTTGATAAAATCTTTCATATAATAATTCTCCTTAATAAATTCTCTTCTCTCAATATGATTATGTAGCACAACATCACGCCAATGTATTTCTCTTAATATTCAGAACGATGACATTTGTACAGCTTGGAAGTACATTGGTGGTTGATGATGAATCTTTAAAATTTCTATAAGATCTCAATAACAATAAACAAATGATTTTGTTTAAAACTTTCATATTTAAGGACGGAAATTAGGACTTTTGCGTCTCACTAGGTTATCATTGAAAAAAAGATCCTCAATTATCAATCATCACTTTGAATTTCCTTATTAATTCTAACTAAAATCACAACCATCTTCACAAAAACAAAGAAAATTATTAAAAACCGCTGAGACGCAGTCCACGATCCCTCGGAATGCCTTAGATAATTAAACAAATTAAAAAAATCATGTAACAAACTTATAAAGAGAACATGCATTTCAGACTCAAACGTAGCTTCCCTCTAATAGCAACTCGAAAATATCGAATTTCTCCAGACAGAAAAAAAGAAATTACCCATGAATTTAACTGAACAAAATAGAATAGAGCAACATAATATATGCAGCTGCATAAATGTCATTAATGTTTCAATGATTATTTGGCTGATTCAGTGGTCGATTTTCCTACTGAATAAAGAGAGAAAGACGACCTCAGACCAATTTCTTGCATTTGAAGTAGGTGCTTAAAATCAGGAATGACAGCTTAAACAATATTTAACACATTTAACACATACGTATCAGGCGTTTCACACCAAGGCACGAAAAAACTTTCCCACATATATTATGAATATTTTTTTATACGAATAAGACCTATTGAATGTTATCATCAACAAAAAGGCGAGATTCACACGAATAAATGATGAACAATTCAGAAATCAAGTAGCAAAGCGAGTCAACTCATCATAAAAATATTCATTTTTTTGAATCGCATGATTATCTCAGTCAAGAGAAAATTCAAGCAAAGATAACAAGAAACATCTTTCTAGTCACGAAATTTTTCCACATAAAAAGTCAAATTCAAATTCAATTCATCAAATTACCAGAAATTCATCATTCTGGAAGTAATATGGCATATCCTAGGAGAGCAAAATTGTTTTTCTCAGAAGAAAGGTCTGTTGGCAATGCTTAGAAATATAAGGAAGGAATCATCTTTAGATGTTCATTAATTTTTGAATCGATGCGTAGAGTTAACCCATTTTAGAACTTCATGTCTAAATTTAGGTGTACCGAAAATTCTGAAACAAAAAAACATAATCTATCACAGTAGTGCGGTCGAGGCCATACTTTCCTCGGATGCCTATTTATGTCGCGGCATTTGGCTTCCCTCACAATTACTTCAATAAAACAAAAAAGAAAAATCAAGGAAAATGAATAAAGCTCGTTCAGTGATTATTCATAAAAAGTACCTTAAAGTAAGGCATGAAAAACATGAAAATATGGTTCACTTATTGCTTTCTCAACAGCATCACAGAATCGTGTTTATAAAAAGAAGTGGTAATAACCGTCATGTAACAATTACGCAGTTTCTTACGCAGGAGATCACACTCGTTAGTCTCAACAAAATCACAAGGCAGAAATGATCTGCAAGAGCCTGAAGGCGTGGTTTTTAATTGCGTCGTGTGTCCTCAATAAAATTCGCCGGATTCTGTGTGTCACATAACGGTATTCTTTATACACCTCTCCATTCCTTTTTCCTCATTTTACTTTTTGTTTTTACTCTCAAAATGAGGGTACGTTTAATCGAGTTCAGAATCGATGAGGTCTAAGTTATTACTCCTCCCTCATTTTCTTTTCTCTCCTCATTGCTCTTTTTAACTCGGTTTTTCGTTTTTTTTTTTGACAGCCAAATACAGATATAATTAGGGTATCCGGCGCTCGAGATCCTCATGTAGTAGACTGTTGTTATTTGTTTCATGGTGAGATGTCGGGGATGCTTCTTCAACCTGTTCACCACCGCTCAACTCATGCTGACCAGTACTGTCTCCACTACTTGAGCCACATTCACCATCCACAAATCTGTTCAAAATAAAAAAAATTTTGGTGAGTTTTTAATTTCAGTGCATATATTTTCGTATTTCTAAATGAAGTCATACTGATAAGGAAAGAACAGCAGACGACTGAGGGAGGTGATAGCACAGTGATAAGTACATTCATTTGTAACCGAAATGGGTTTTATTCAATCACCCGAGTGATTCCGGCTTGTTTTCGACGACTATCGGTTCCGTTCGTCGATAAATCAATATCGGGAATTATCAGCGCGCTAAAACGATTTCAGTTGCATATACCGCTGCATCGGAGAATTTGTAATTGTATTCAAGGATAATTCTGATTTTTTTGTGGGTTCGCACTAGAAACAAATATTCAGTAACAATTATCCATTTATTGGCATTGAATTGTTATGGAATGTTTTCAAATCCTTATTTAATTTTACCTGAATTTCAGAAGAGAAATTGCTATACCATCATCTCATTTTCTATACGTTTGAAATGCGTTGAAAGTTGAGAAACATTTGAAGAGCTAGTAGTGCATTTCCATCGCCATAGTATGTTTATGCTATAGGTGAACAGAATCCACGAGAGAATCTGTGCTCAGAACTCGTGTGAGGCCAGAGTCGCGTGATTCTTCGTTCGTATACTATCCCGAGTGGAAATTTTGGTCAAGTTCTAGTCAAGACTGGATCAGGTCATACTTGATGATTGATCCGGAAGTGACACGGTAACTGGATCAAATTTTGATCAGACATGTAACGCAAGTTTAAATCAAGACTTGATCAAACTTTTCTGATCCGGTTTAACGGTTCTGGATTTGATCAAGTCAAATGTATGTAAATCGGATGACTGGAATATCGAAAACGATAATAAATATTAACCATAACTCACTTCAAACAAAAGATAATTAATTTTTTTTATTATATCTGACCGCTCTTAATGAAGCCCGATTGTAATTAGCGATGAAAAAACCCTATTATTTTTGACAATGCTGGGGATCGAACCGCGGAACCTACGATTACTAAACCTACGCCCTAACCACTGGACTACCGGACTATTGTTTTTGAGTAGATTCTTTTTACCTACACAATCTGCAAGGGAGTATTTGATGACTTTGAAATTATTGCATGTACATTCTGAGCGAGAAAACATATTCGGTTCAAATTTTATTTCATTATTAAAAGATAATTATAATAATCATAACGCAATGAACAGATGCAAGTTTGATGATTTTTTTAGACTCAAGATAATGCGCTCTTATGTTTGATACTTCACTATATATATTGCCCTTGCTTCCTATACATTTGTGATTCTTTTTTATCGAGCTATTCAATTGAAAATGAAGGGAATTGAATCGGAAGGAGAACAAATTGTGTTGAGGCAGCTTGATCTCAGAGTGAGATCATGTTTATCTGACTTGCTGGGTCAAAACTTGGTCAGGACTTCATCAAGTGTCATCTGATCAGGCATGTTTCACCAGAACTTGATGTAAAGCCACTTGTAGTTTATGGGGTCCAATATACTGGCTCGAAACTTGATCAAGTTTTCATCAAGTGTCATCTGATCAGGCATGTTTGACCAGAACTTGATGTAAAGCCATTTGTAGTTTATAGGGTCCAATATACTGGCTCGAAACTTGATCAAGTTTTCATCCAGTGTCATCTGATCAGGCCTGTCTGATCACAACTTGATCTAAATTCGCTTGTAGTTTTTCGGATCCGAAACGTTGGATCAAACCTTGGTCAGGTTCTGATCAGATCTTACCTGATAAAGCGAACCGCACTGAAACTGAATCAAGTTCTGATTGGACTTCAAGTAGACCTGAACTAATTTCCACTCGGAATTTTATGCCATCGGTGCCCGTAATCGCGCGATCCTAACCTCGCTTCACTCAAAATAGTATATAATTCTTAATTATAATTTAATTACCGAATTTGCAGCAGGAAGAGCAGCGGAGTGTTTATACCCGTATTGATCACCTACGTCATAAATTAAAGGTGATTGATTGCCCTTTTTATCCCTTGGGACATAAGGTAGCATATGCACCATGGTCGAAAGTGTTTTCTCCCGGGGGTGAATAATGTACTAATTTTTGACTCGTGGGATTGTTAAACTCGCCTTCGGCTCGTTCTACAAACTTCCCACTACAAACCTCGAGCATTGTGCTTACTGGTTGAAATCTGTGTTTGAAAACCAAATCATCAAATACTACTGTTGCCGTAAAATAAATGGGCAATATACTTTCCTCAAGCTTCCCTGTCTGAAACGAATGTGCCAAATTCAGCAGAAATACACTTCGTTCTTTATATTTGGGATTTGTAACATGCAAAATTTCTTGCAATCGTTCCTCGACGATGGAGCTATCGACAAATATCTGATAATTTTAACACCTATATTATTACTGAATATTTTCCTCGACGCCACATGCAAAATTTTCGGAGCGTGATTTTTATTTATTGAATGATATGGAGTGCGTTGGAAGAGATTAAAAAAAAAGATGTGTTGATGCAAAAGAGAATTGAGAGTGGATGATGAGAATAGGGAGGATGATCCCTCTTTCTTGTCATCCAAGTCCAGTTTTAGATATGATGAGCAGGTTGATTGACTTGGCATTAGTGATATCAAGAAACTAGCAATGGAAACCAACCATGAGACTGCTTAGCTCAGCAAAAGTTCAGATGTGGAGAGAGCTTTGACGGAGTCGTGAGGACTCGGAAGACGGTAGAGTACCATCGGGAGAGGAACAAAGTTTAAGTCGAAGAGCAGAGCCTAATAACGCGTATACCTCCCCAACTAGGCCATTATCGTGTAATGTTAATCCATTTAAGTTAATATATAGTACCATTTCACGAGTTAAATACGCGAGTGGTCATTGAAAGAAAGGAATTCTTCCCAATCCTACACCAACTTCCTTCCGAGTGGGCGAATCTCCCATAATTAGACAACAACGGATCACTGAGAAAACCTTCCGATAACTTAAAGTCATAAGCACGCCAGTACGTCTGGCATTGTGGATCGGTCAACATGAAACGTGGTAAACGAGTTTATGTACAAGAGAAACGTCCCATCCGATAGAAGAATAGCAGCGTGCCTTGAAACAATGTCCAGGCATTACACCCTGAGTTCTGCCTGACGCACACGGGAGTGGGCCATTAGCCGGGGCGTCATGAGATTGCTGCGTAGGAGCTCAGTATGGGTATGAATAAGATATTATATAATTCTCAATTATAATTTAATTACCGAATTTGCAGCAGGAAGGGCAGCGGAGTGTTTATACCCGTATCGATCATCTACGTCATAAATTAAAGGTGATTGATTGCCCTCACGGTCGAGGTGTTGCTCCCAGGTGTGTAAATAATAATAATACCCCTTTGTGTTCCCCGTGGTTATTAAATTTAACAACATGTGTTATTATAGGGCCGACAACCGCTACGTCCTCGCCGTGGCCCTGGGTAGCGCAAACAGTAGTATATAAATTACAACGTAGGGAGGAAACTATTTATTTCCCCCATATACGGTTCTCAGATGCAGAAGGTGAAAAGCTTCAGCGTTTTTACATTTTGTTCTTCCCCCCAATCCCACATGCACCATAATTACGCTACGGGCCGAAGAGAAACCCTGAGGAGAAAAAAAGTTAGCCAGTCGTCCATTTCGGAACTACCGCTCAGATGATGAAAACGCCTAAATTAGAGTGTTAAAAAACATTTTAGCTTCTACATGATCGGGAATCGAACCTAATCCGCCGCGTGCCAATTCAGCACTCTAACCGCACACGGCCATCACCGTCAATAATTAAGAATGCTCATTTCTGTACAAAGTTATTCAATACCATTATTGAGTATAGATCCTTGCATCGAAATTGATTTTGTAGTATAACAAATTACTATCAAATTGAGTTATTATTACTTTCATGTAATAAACTATTGTAAACCTTCAATCTGATACAGCTTTATACAATTGGATCATTGTAATTTAGAAATGTATTCTCGCGACCATTTACTAACAAAATTTGACCATTCATCGTGAAATCATTCAATTCTACAAAGGAGTTGAAAAACCTTAATTTAAAATGTTTGGATGCTTCTGGCTACGTGATTGGAATTGCTGGTGGCCATCCGCACCCGCTTTGCTAAATATGCTGAAATAACGGTACCATGAAAAATTGAGCTACAACTGCATGATGGGGGAAATATACAAGGTTCGAATGGAATTGAATTTATCATAGTGATGAAACTTGGATCCATATGTAAAATTTGTGTATTTCACATTGAAGAAACAAATGTGGGTTTTAATCGAGAGATTGATAGGCTCTAATATATTTGTTGATTAGGTATTCAACTTACGTGTACGGTTGCTCCTCCCCTCGCATCTCGCATATGACGTTTGTAAGTGCCATTATGTAATTCTTGGCAAGTGTAAGTGTTTCGATTTTGCTGAGCTTCCTTTCCATTTTCACGTGGGGTATTACCTCTCTCAATTGCTGAACAAATTACATGATTCATTAATTCATATAGTTTTTTTTCATGTAAAAATGAAAAATTATTGTTTTTGTTTTTTACTCAACAGTAACGGAGTTAAACAGTTTAATAATTGTTCCGAAATGTCTTGACTGCTCTTGACCTGATGTGAGTTTTGGCATAATTTCCGAATAATCTTTAAATATGCATCATATACACTAACCCTAGCATGGAGTTGAGGTGGAAAATTTTCCTATCTTTACTAATTCCTTAACCTTTAAGGTTTCTTCTAAATTCTAAATCGTCACTCATGTTGGTTATTAGTATATACTTCAAATCTTTCATTCAGAAGTGAATGTAGTTTAAGTTAGTTCTGGCGAATTGAAATATCTTGTACTACAATGTAACTCTATCGTTGTAACTATGAGCATGCTCTTCTATTTTCTATCACTGAACTTGATTAGCCTCTGATTCGGATTAAAAATTTTCGATCGCAAAGGGAACAATCAGCTCTGACTTTATCTATCATTTTTGTGAAGATCTGATATAATTGTAACTTGTATTTTTCTGATTATATGTTGACATAATGAAGAAATTTCTAAGAATATATATTAATGGAACTAATGAGGGTTAATTTAAGCTCTCTTCTTTAAGCGTAAAGACAAGAAAATTGCAATTTTTCCACACTAGTCGGTTAGTTTATTAGGTTTTTTCCCGTCGATAATTAAGTATTTTATGAAAGATATAACCAGTAAATTATGTTCTTGGAAATAGATCCAATATTGAAAGGGGCATATTAACCCTCAGAAATTATTACTCATATCAAGTGGGTGCGTCTTCCCGTGTAATATAAACCACAGATATGAAAAGTTCGGAAAGTTACGGAAAAAAAATTAAAGAAACTCCAAGAAGCTCAACTTCACTTGCCATGCCTAAAAAGTGATCTGCATATTGGGAAGAAATTGTATATTTCGTAACAACTGCGGAAAAGTGACTTTCGGCATGTGGGATTACTCGTCTTCAGCTCGTGCTATAAACTTTCCACACGCCGAAAATCACTTTTCCGCACTTTTTACAAAATATACTATTTCATGACTCATCCCCCTGGTTATTCATATTGGACTTACCTCGAATGCGTCATTTAAAGAGTGCATTCTCATTCGTTCTCGCTCGTTACTTTCTAGCCTTCTCAAGTTTCTTTCTCTTGCTGAAATTCCACTCTTCCGTCGTCGTGTTGTCGCTGGACCAACGCGGTTTCGACGTTTGACTTGTTTCGGACTACGCTCGCTTCCACTGCTATCACTCTCATCACCCACCTAATTATGCAAATTATTCTTTTCTCATTTGAATATTTTATCACTTACTTCTAGGAAAAATGTGATCAAGCCCAGATTTTTTATTATTTGATTAGTGTGATACGAGTGACGTTAGGAAAGACTATGCTGAATACTGACAACAAAATTCAATAAAACTTATATGTGTGAGTTTCGTTACCCTGAATAAAGTTGAAATCACTAAAAAATGTACCCCCGCAAAATTTGCATTGGAAAATACTTTCAAAGTATAAACTATTTTGCACTCAAAAAACATTCATGTATGTCAGTGTTAAAATCTTAACATTTTAAAAACATGAAGTGAATTTGCCGTTTCCAAAAATTTTTCTGGTGTCAGCTTCATTTAATTACATATGAAAACAGTCTTTCCCATTTTTTTTTCAATTCACGGAAAAAATTATGGAAAATTCCAAGTATTCAGTCCCTTTTTCAAAATGTATTTCAAGACGAATTTTTCTTAAATTTTCACATAAATTGAAGAATCATACTTTCACATGCGAATTACGCAACCAACACATGATTGTTATTCAATTTTCGTCGCAGGGAAGTATTTTTTGTAGTAAACTTTCTAACATATCACTAGTTTTTCCATCTTTGCTTAACATGCGATAACTGAGAGATTCCGATAATTATACGATATACGATGAGTAATTGTGACTATCATTTAACGATTACTGTTTTTTATTACGTACATCAACAAGGATTTCAGACGAAAATATTGAAACCTTTTTTCAAGAAAGTTATCTCATCAGGTACAAACAAAGTCGTCTGATACTCTCACCAATGTCGCTCATTATCACGATAATTTCTGAATTTCATCATTAACGAGCTCTTGATATAGTATTATAATCTTTATTTAATAACGACGTCAGAGATAATTTAATGTAAAAAATGCTGTTGATATTTTCTCATTAAACCGCCTCATGTGTAGATAACTCGAAATAAAGTAAGAATTTCAATGACATTCAATTTTAAATATAATTTCATAACTAAAAACGGAGTAATTTCAGAAGACAATATGAATAAAAACATTTTTGACATTTTTCGTCAAGGATTTAGTTTTCCCCATAACCAATGAATGTTTCAATAATACCCTGATTAGTTCAGTGGTGGATCAGTTGTACAGAAAAAATGGGAAGCAACTGAAAATTTATTAGGTCAGGATCGTTAAATTTAAAGAGGATGAGGAAATTTTCATAAATGTGCTTGCTGGTTCAATAATATGACCATTCAGTTTGTTTTCCAAACGGCCTGAGCAATTCAGTGGTTTACCTCGGCAACATGATGTCGCCCTCTTTTCCCTGTGATTGAGTCGACTGACGCGTCGTCGAGGTCGATATACATCTCCTGATCTCCACAGTCCTGATCGCTGCCTGATGATCTCTCCAGGTTTCGCATTATCTTCCTCAGCCCCTCACAAGAAATAATGTATAGTCGACCTATAAGCACAATGGATTATTCGTTAATGTTATCTTTTGATATCAACATGCGCAAATTTAGTGGATCACCAGAAAATGCGGAATGACGGATTTGTACATTGGTACGCGGAAAGTTGATCGTGTCAGCGTATTTTCATTATGACAGAAATACTAATACATGTAGGCAGCTACATAGTCAAATAATACCGGAGATAAGCCGTACACTGAGTAAAGGGACTTCCATTTTATTCTGATATATGTGGTCTTAACATTAGTTATTTAACGTAAGTTATTTTAGAATAGTTGCTTTTCATTTATTATGACTGCTTCAAAAAAAAAACAACCTACTTCTTTTTAAATTAACCATTTGTCTCTAATTTGCTAATTCATGACGGAATATTCAATGCTTCGGCTGATATATTTTAAAATTAAACTCAATCACTCGCAATTAATATGAAACAGAATTTGTAAATGACAAATACAACCTCCCTTCTGCCCCCCACACACACAGTCACAGTGCCGTTGTCAGTTGGTACTGACGATTAACTAGGCCGATATGAATTTGTGATCGATAGACATCGACATGATAAATCGAGTAGACAGATCGAACAAACTATATTCTTTGAATGGTCTGCATTTAACTGTTGACGAATTGATCTATCAAATAACCAGGAAAAGAATATAAATTTCAGTGTTTTTATGTACAGACCCATAATCTACAAGTACGATTCTAGTAATAAGAAAATATAGTAAGATATGGAATGGCTGTCATATGCCTCCGTTCTCACAGCTTTAAATGGGGCTGATAAAGCAAAACATTCGTTTTACCGGTGCTAAACCTTAAAAAACAAACCTCATTTCGTAAGACGTATTTTTAGGTATTTTTTATCTATTAAAAAATGAAAAAAAACTATTTGAAAACGCGGATGAAATATGGTTCCGTTTTCGAACGGGAAACCTGCGGATTTCTGTCATGAAATAAAATTACTTGTTCAAATTTTTTATTGTATATTGCACAAAATATATTTAAAAATATATATACATCTATATATATATATTTGTATTTAATAAAAAATGGAGAAACTGACAACGATAACCTTCCATGTGATTTATCGTTCTGACACTTCACGTACACAGTGACATATCTATTCATGAACGTAGATACCCGAAGCCAAGCCCGATGCATACTGCCTTTAACGTCATTATCATCGTCTTCCACGACACAAATGAGCTGTACACTCAACACTCTCTTAACCCGCGCAAATGCAGACCTCCAAACGATGCTTCTCCGTAAACTTGATTATGCTAAACAATATCATCCGGAATGAGGATGAATAAAAAAGATGTTGAAACGTCTAAGATAACCATTTTAAAACGAAAAATTATGCTGAAAAATAACATCTGTCTCTTACCTGTCTCTCTCGTTCCGGGAATGAATTTTCTGATTATTAAAGCCAAGAGGAAAATGAAAAAAAGGATTTTATCTTTTCCTATTGGGATACTAGCACAATATTATGGGAACTCGCTGATATTCACGGCACTTTCAATTTTTTATACTGGTTTCTACTCTTTTTTTCGTTTGTAAAAAGTTTACTCCATCCTTTTTTTTTATATGAAATTTGAATGTTTCAACTTTTTTTTAAACACTATTGGTATTCCCATTTAAACACACAAGATTGGGAATTAATCCACTGGAGCGTTCTTCATCTCTTCTTCGCTTAATCCTCCGCATTTCGTCTTCACTGGGCGACACTTTTAAAATTATCTCATTTCCACGAATTCTGACACTCAAAATTGTAGTTCCAGATTCACCTGAAATTGATTTTTAAGGGTCATATAAGAATTTAGTTCCTAGTTATTTCATGAAATTTCGGTGAAGCGATTGAAATTTGTTGGAAATTCATGTTTATACCAAAAAATGTAAAAGATAAAAAAATCATAAATTTTTGGGAAATTAAAAAAAGACTGATTGAAATTGAATTTTGCATTTAACTTTCACCTAAAAGAAATCTGAGAGTAGTGAAGAATGGAAAAATCTTCAAATAACAAAATCAGAAAACATTTTGAAATATAAACACATCAGTTATTTTTCAAAATTTTCGACTAACATTCTGTTTTCTTTTAGTTCCCTCTTGGGATAAAAATGGATTTGATACAAAATCATCAAATTTGTATTCCGAAATGCTTTTACCGATAAGAACATATTTTTTTATTATTTTCCTGGTATTCCACGGCTGAGTAATCGCAGACTATTTGATTTTCATAAAAAATTCCCAAGTGTTCAATTCGAAATGAACGAAAAATTGACGCCAATTGAACATACCAATGATATAAACTTGATCCATATCTTCTAGTCGACCCGGATAAGAGATAAAATTTACTTGAACAAAAAAACGGAATGAAATTAGAAACGCTATAAAATAGACATATCATATTTCTCATAATGGTATTATATACAAATAGACTATTATAATAGAACGCTCAATTACGATTAATATATTTGTCAGAAACAAAATTTTGAGTATTCTATATTTGATATTTCATCGAAAATGATTTAATTCTCTTCACCCGAGCACTCACGTTAAAAAAAATATTAGGCTTCGTTTCATAGTATATTATTTATTAATGTTCTAAATTCTCTAGAAAAGTTTAAAGTGAAAGAGGCTGAGCTCTATAACGTTCACGTGACTACGAAAAGGCACCGGAGGAATTCCATGGAACGGGCGAATAACCCAGAAACGGTATTCTACAAGGAAGAAAATGTTTCACAGTTTCACAGACGCAATCCTCCCTTTGTTTTATTCAAATCGAATAATAAGTGCCGATGACATTGAATGGTGGGAAATTCTATTGGCTTGCTTCATTGAAAACAAGGGGAAAGGGAAGGAAAAGTTGTTGATAAAGAAAGGAGTTCAATCAATGAAATTGAATTATTCCCGTTCAATTTTACAATTGGAAAACAATTTAAAAATTAAAGGAAAATAATCTTGCAATAAAGTGGGGAAAAATGAATTGATTTAATATTTCTTATGGCCATTGCAAAAAATGATATTCAAATATCGCAATTTTCTCGGCTTATTTGAGAAAGTCAGGAACTCGCAACAAGTCAACAATTGAACAAAACACGTGGACATGCAATGAAAATTCTAATGTGCTTCAAATGTGTTTGCGTAGGAAGACGAGACGGAATATCCTGGTACCGTTAATCGCACGCTTGGAATTCCCGAGAAAGTTGTTATAAATATTAACCGAAACAAATTTCAATTCTCATCGCATTCACATCTTGAAATAACTTAAACTAAAACTAGATTATGATTCACAATTGCATACTCCTTATTGCACTGAGTATTTCCGTTAAAATTTGGGAATTTATAATTTTTTCCCATCAGATGACACAACGATGGACTAGACTATATGTCAATTTTCTGTTATTAGTACGAGTAATTAACGAGAACAAGTAATTGCCGACAGATAATAATGGAAAAGAAGGTGTTGCCACCGAGCGTAATCTCGGTTGAACGAGCGCCCGATCCGGACTGACTATAACTGTAAACGTTACTTGTCGCCGGTATTCCCACTGCTTCCCGAAAGCTCTCCCTCTTGGCCGCATTGGCCACTCGGTGGAATCGGTCTTAGCATGAGGACTCCCCCTCTAAAATAAAATACAGCATTCTCCCTGCCGTGGCGCTGGGAAACCCGTTTTTCAACGGGCCTGTGAAACTTACTCATACTAAGTTAGAACACTCCAATGCGGTACAGACGCTTATATGTACTGCCAGTATTATTCAGCGGGTGTTATGTTTTTTTTTACTATAGTTGTCAAGTCAACTCCCTTATGTTTATACAGCCAATGTCACTGACAGACCTCCATCAATTCATCTTCTATTCAACGTTTACTTTTTTTAATTATTACTTTGTGGCGCAACGTTAGAGTTAGGGAAGAAAAATGATGATCACTGGACAGGGAAATATTAACCATTCCTACATACCATTTAGTCAGATAACGTTCTCAACAATGCAATGCCCTTATTTCACTTCATTTTCCTACATGGAGAGAAAAATACCCGAAAAATTAAAGAACTTTAACGTATTCGTGAGGTGACCTTGGTTTTCGGGGAAAAATACTGTAAGTTCCGTAAAAATTTTCTTAGCGACCAGGAATTTTTACGAAACTTTCAGGACAATTTTACGGTACCTCCAGTACTTTTTCCCGAAAAGCGAGGTCACTCCACGAATACGTGAAATTTCCGTAATTTTTCGGATATTTTTCTCTCCGTGTACCGTTGAAGAAGAACATTTACACTTGTCACGCTTAAACTTCTTATGGGGTTTTATTTTTTTATGATAACGCATACATACACATTTGAGGCATTCTCCAGAAAAAAACAAATTAAGTTTTTATTTTTATTAAAATTTTCAACGATATTTCTAGAAAAAACATACTGCAAGAATATTGATGATTTGTAAAATGATGACTTTCGGTAGTTGAACAGAAATTATAAAGTTTTGGCCGGTCGTAGACTTTTTTCTTTAATTCTCGAAAAAAGGGTTATTTTTTCTGTGAATTTTGACATTTGTTCCATCATCAGGCAACAATTTCTTACATTTTTTTTTCTAGTTTTGGTATTTTCATCGTATTTTCGTCTATTCGGGAAACTCGATACGTGAGTTTTGTATGAAAATATATTATTAATGGTTCCTCTGAATTCCGTCATTTTCATATTTCAAATTTTGCGCTAGAAAGAGGGAAGTGTATTGATCGTATTGTGTATTGATTGTGTATTGATTGTATAGTGTATTGATTAATTGGGACACGAAAATGAGAAAATTCAAAGTAATCATTAATCACATATTCCCATACAAAAAATGAAGTATCGAGTTTCCAGAATAGAAGAAAATACAATAAAAATATTAAAACAGGAAAAAAAAAACGACTTTACACTTCGCTCTTTCGAAATGCGAAATGTTTTTTCTAGTGTATATAGAATATTTCTATCGTATATTCTTGTGGATATGGATTAACACTACATTTCGCGCTTTCTAGCGCGAAATTTCAAATCTGATAATGAAGGAATTCAGAGGAACTATTCAACATATATTTTCATCCAAAAAGCAAGGATCCAGATAAAAGAAAAACATAAAAACTAGAAAAATACATGCAAGGAATTAGGGAAATGGGGGAGAATAAGGCCCTCAGAAAATTCGGAGTTCTGCTGATGCCTCTAGTTCTCTCCATTAAGTTACAAACAAAAAACTCTATTACTGTTTTTGGTGAAAATTTATGGTTGAAAAGTTATCTGAAAAAAAGGGAATTTTGAAAATCAATTATTGAGTGTTCACATATTTATTAACTATCAGGTAATGACTCATACTATGTTTGGACATGATGTATGTGTAGAATTGAGTCTTTTCAAAACATATCTATTAATTTTGTAAGTTTTGGGTAGGTGGATGAAACCTTCACTCTGGTTCACGCCTGAAGGTGGTTTAGAAAATTTTCAAAATTCATAAATGCATTTATAATTTCAATTCAAAGTGTGGTAAGGAACGATTAACCTTACCAGCACTTGGCGTTACGCGGGGTTCGCAACGGGGACGCGGCTGGTATGAGCCCTACAAAGATCATGACATGATCTGGTCATCCATCTCTAGTCATCTACCTCAGGGCCCAGCAACCTTCGGGTAGCCGGGAGCCAGCCTATTACTAGGGTCGAGATAATCTCCAAATCGTGATGGGCACCAAATTAGCCAGCCATTCTCTGCGAATAAGCACCAATGGTGACGCTATTCCCGTCAGCCACATAGAATGGTTGCGAGTCGAACAAAAATGATTAACCCGCCAGACTGGGCGTAAAATTCCAGTTTTACATTTTAAATATAAACCTTTGGAGAAGGTATTTCGGAACTGGGTTTCGCCAATTATTATTTTTCTTCGAAATATTGCAACTCTAAATACGAAAAATAAAATTTTGCCATGATTTCACTATAGCATCATGTAAAGCGTTTTTTTCATTCAGCTTCGTCATTCATCGGAAATCTCGGCCACAATTGTCATTTATTAGAGGCAATGCCAGTTCTATCCTGCGCTATTTCCATTATCACTGGAATCGGAAAATTAATACATTTTGATCGCCATTTTTCATATCTTTCTGAAATCCGTGGAGTCAGTAAGCCTCAGTGAACTCATTTTTAACTGCTAAGCCTTAGCTGTTAAGGCTTTCCCAGTTCTGTTCTCATCGTCATCTTTTAGAATTCTTATCAGAGTTATATTCATTTTCTGAATAACAACTGTGAAGATATCCTTCCGCCTCAGAATTTTTAAGCAATAGTTCTACCTTATTTATTGAATTGCTGCAGATATCGTCTGGACACAGAATAATTGGTAAGGGCGATTCCTCCTCCTATTGCTGTTGATTTCGACTGAAAAATTGATGTTCATATTGTGACCTTACCGATCAATCCGATAATTAATAAAATTAGGGAGGGCCTGAAAATAAACAAAGAAAAGGGAAAAAAAGGAGAAAATGATTGACTCGTTAGGGGATTGGTAAACAACCGACTTTATTTCATACTTTTCCCATTTTAGATAATAAATTAAAACCAGCAAATTCATATAAAATTTCAAAAATCACAAAAAAATTTTGTGAAAAAATGGCGCCAAGTCGACGTGAATCTGATCGCCTCCAAGACAGAAACATGGGACTATTACTGAATAGTTGAAATGACACAGTAGGCGAACTGATTATGATATAATCTTATTTTTAGAAAACCACGGAAATATTAAAAAATGCCAAGTTTATGCTGACAGCGTCAACTAGGACAATTTTCCGCAGTTTTAGTTCCGATTGGAAAATCGATTATTGTTAATAAAGGCTTTTGTCATTCCGGCTGTAAGACAGTGTTTTACGGCTGCGTCGCTTTGCTTCGCGTCCACGAAATGCTGACTACGGCTGTTATGATAAAAAATAGTGGGCCTCATACAGCCAAAAAAAATTTGTCAACCAATATGATTGTTGCAAACCTCATCTTCGCTAGAAAAGTTTTTTTCGGCCTAATGACAAAATATATTGTTTCAAACCCCGTCCATAGGAAATTGATTCAGAAAAAAGTCAACTTGGCGCGCCTAATTTTTCCCCATCAATTCACTAAGTGTCATTACGTTGCCGGGAACATTATACAAAATTACAAGTATATTTTAGCATTTCCCTAGCAAGTCATAAATCCGTAAGTGGATTATTGATTGAGTGCATCGATTGATAATTACGTAATTACTTCAGTCGTTACGGACATCCTATAGTGTGCCACCATGCGTCGCTTATGAACGCGCCATCACTCTGACGGGTACCCACTCTCCGCATACCGATATGCTATTTGACGTTCATTGGTGAATAGGTTAAGTACACGTCAGGTATACGGAATCCAATTGTGATATAGTAACCTGAATCAAATCTCAATAGACTTGGCGTTTTGTCAATTAGCGTGCGAACTCTAGCTTTGTCAATCATTCACTTCCTACGAAGTATGTTCATTATCGAACAGCCCGGCGTGCCAAGTTGACTTTTTTCCGAATCGATTTCCTATGGACGGGATTTGAAACAATATACTTTGTCATTAGATCGAAAAAAACTTTTCTAGCGAAGATGAGGTTTGCAACAATCATATTGGTCGACAAATTTTTTTGTCATAACAGCCGTAGTCAGCGTTTCGTGGACGCGAAGCAAAGCGACGCAGCCGTAAAACACTGTTTTACAGCCGGAATGACAAAAGCCTTTATTAACAATAATCGATTTTCCAATCGGAACTAAAACTGCGGAAAATTGTTCTAGTTGACGCTGTCAGCATAAACTTGGCATTTTTTAATATTTCCATGGTTTTTTTTTAAATAAGATTATATCATAATCAGTTCGCCTACTATGTCATTTCAACTATTCAGTAATTGTCCCATGTTTCTGTCTTGGAGGCGATCAGATTCCCGTCGACTTGGCGCCATTTTTTCACAAAATTTTTTTGTGATTTTTTAAATTTAATATTTATATGATTTTTTGAAAAATTGTGTGATTTCATCCATGCAGTTATTGTCCCATACTTCTATCTTGCGTTCAAATTAGCGTCGGCTTGGCGCCATTTGTTCACATTTTTTTATGATTTTTTTTATGTTAATAATTACCAAACAAATGGATGCAATCAAAAGTATTGGTACCTGTTTTAAGCCTCTCTGACATGTGTTAGTTAATCATAGTAATTTTTTTCAACGAAATATAATTTAAATATTCATGTTTTAGTTTTTATTCAGTCATTCAAGTTGATTATTGAAAAATATTACATAAAAAAATTCAATTTGGAGGTAATATTTTAATTTAAATATTAGAACTCGATTCCAATTGTTAAAGGGTCATTTACAAACATTAAATTATCTGTTTAATTAATGTATGATTAAAATGTTCGAATTTTAAATATTGAAAAATTGACTGAACTAAAATTTTTTATTTGGTTGTTATATTCAAATCATTAAATTATTAACAATCTATTCCAATTGTTAAAGGGTCTTTCAT